TTTCGGTGTAAAACTGTTTTCAAGGTTGTGATTTCTTTGAGATATCGTCCGTACCGCTGTATGTATTGCATGAAGGAGTTCTTCTATACTGAAGAGGAAGGACTTAGTCATGTACGCTCTCAGCATCATGGAAAAACCGTCACCGTAAGTTATGATATTCTACCTTTCTAGCTTCGTAGATGTGACTAGAATGACAGGTAATGTAGGACACGCAGAATCTCGGTTCTTCCTTCCATTTGTGTAGGAAATGGTACATTGTAAAAGTTCAAGTCGTCATGACCTAAATTTCATATACCGGGGGTTCCCGTTGAAGTGTCGTCTCGAAATGTTGGATTTCAACGATATTAGTGCTATTATACATACCGGAAGCGCTCCTTTTTATTCCTATCGGGCTGTTCTTGAAGCATCCTTAATGACTTGTTCGAACCATCCACTTATTTATTGAATTTTATGCAATTCCTGAAGGTCTGGAGGAACAAGCTAAAAGCCTAAAAGTTATTCAGATTGCAGTACATCTTCTAGTTCGCTTTCTTTCAAATTGGCTGTGACTCACCTTTATTAGAGGCGAAAATTTCAGCTATTGCGAGAGTACCATGACGATAAAGAAAAACAGTTGGAAGATGCGTTCTGTGCTCTCTTCCTTGCTGTTCGGGAAGGGGTGAGTTTCAATTTTTTTTCTCTTTATTCACTCCTTTTCAATTATTTCTCGCGCTTCAGCCGAATTTCACCATTGAACGTGCCGCTGCGATCGAAAGGGCTGCTTTTATGCATCTACAGAAGTTTAAGCGAATGCGAATGAAAGTGCCTGAGTTTGCAACGAGAGCAAAGTTCGTTTTATTTCATTTCTCGTTATTTCTATCGAGCGAATTTTCACACCTAGATTTCTGCTTAGCTTACTGAGTAATCTTTTTCAAGGCCGATGCGAGATTTTGCATCGCAAACGTTTGCTACGATGGCTTCTCCTCATACCATGGTTCCTGCAATGAAATACTTGACACAACCGCGGCAAACATTTGACCAGTTGCAACATCATCTTGAACCTTTGCACCATCCTCAAATTCATCCCATGAAAGTCATGGAAATGGACGATTCTAATGGACACCAGAGATATGTTAGTGGAACATTTTTCAGTATTTGATATGCCCGATCCTTACAGTTGTCGCAAAAAAATGTTATCTGAATATTCTTGTAGATTCGTATGAGCAATGGTGAGCTAGCAGAGATCAATGAGCAGTATGTTATAGCAGAGGTGAGTTCCTATTTGGCTTGCTTTTGCTTTGTCGCTTGTCTATATTAAACGGTGGGGAGAACGAGTTATTTCAATTTCATTTTTTTCCATTGGTGATGCGCGTTTTTCGATGTTAACACTACTACGAATTCGTCTTTATTTCTACAACTAGTGGCCACTTTTCTATATTCCTTCTACTATTATAAATTTTCCTTGCTCATCACATGTTGATATTAGGTTTCAATATTCTGTCGTTGAACCGACCACTGAAGCTGCAGAATAGGTGAGCGGTTGAAAATGTTCAGTGAGATGTTGGGGCATGGGTTCCTACTTATATATGTAAAACCAATATGTAGAGCAATTTACATTGTGCAGCGCTCATTGCTGCATAAAATCGAATTCCACTTAGCAGGGCCGGCATCATAAATCTGTAAGTGAAGTTGGAATGTCGTGAGTGATGGAATCCAGGTTTTTCGTATATCCGACCAATAAAGTTTAAAGGATAAAGTTTTTTTTTGGCGTTAATCAATCCCTTCTGAGGGATGGGCCCCCGCACCCGACTCCCATTCAGAATCGCAGTGGCGTAACGAATGCGTTTGTGGCCTATACAATGACTTGCGGTGGCCAGCCGATGTACAAGTCAGTGCTTTTATCCTCTCAGACGAGTCTGGTACCAATTCACCGACCCCAGAGGTATGGAAGGCTTGGTTGGCCAAGGCGGGCATCGATCCGGGGTATCGATCAATTACACCTATTTTTCCGTTAGCAGTCTATCAGTCAGCAACTGTTTCCGGCAAGGATTTTTTGAAGAATAAGACTTAAAATTAATTTAAATACAATTTTTGTAAAATTTGCATATAATTAATGAAGCCTACTCCACATTTTTCTGAAAGGTGAAAATTGAGGTGTGGCAAATGCACACCAACGTCAAAAACAAAATGTATTGTTACAGGAATATTTATAATATTTATATAAAGTGATATTCATGTAATGATATTTGTGTAATATTTAAGGATGAAGAAGGCCCTGTTGGTGAGTATATTGAAGTTGACTACGTTGACGAAATAATTGACGAAGGAGAAGGCCAAGAACGCGACGACAGAGAAGTGGTCGTAGAGCACTTATCGCACCCTGGTGATCACCAAGGCATGGAAGATCAGTACTAACATTTGACCATGTTTTTTTTTTGTTGAATCTTATGTTTATTTGATTTTATCCAATCACTTGAATATAGGATCAGAGGAATCAACACGGTTCCTTTCAAGGTGTTGAATAATGTTTTGTGTTTGAAGCCATCTTGTCATATTGCTCTTGGTATCGCTTACGATTTCCGATAAAGTGTATATATTAGTTTTATCAAACGCTGCATTTCTTGAATTCGTGGAGAACCTTNACCTTTAGGAACATGCGAAAATAACGTACAATGTTAGTATACTTTGAAGTTGCCTCTTAAGTCGGCATATTTCAAGCTCTGATGACATTAGGGCGATATCGAAGAAAACGTTTGGGGAAGAGATGAAGTGAACGGCTGCTTTCATAGTCCACGATTTGGCCCGTGAGCGCGCGAGCGAGCGACGGGGCGGCTCGCTCACTCGCTAGCGCGCTCGCGGACCATGAAGCAGCCAACGGAGGCTCAATAATCCCTTCACGCTATGAGCACCTCATTCCCTCATGAGCGACGTCTTCAGAAATGACTTCATTTATAGAAAAGAAACAAACTGAAGGTCGACAACTGAAGTGCAAAGAGAGGCTAAAGAGTGGGAGCTGCTGTGCCTGTCGTTGTGAGCGGTTTGAAGAAATAAAAACGCAATGACTAAAACCTTGACTTCGCTCTCGTACGATTCCTGGGATCAGATCCCTTCTAGTGCGATGGAAAGTTCTATTAGCTCAGAGTCAGGGGAATGTTGTGTCTACGGTTGTCTGGGAGAAAGAACGCGAATTCAGGACATTCTTCACGGGAATGACTGAGTGGATGATGAGCTAGCTAGCTCGGGAGCATTAACTATGAAGAATTGCGAAAGCAAAACTTTCCCACTTCCAACTGCAGGACAGAGAAGACGGCATATGCGTGTAGCTCAGTGATTGCTTGCTTTCTGCTACTCTCGCCGTCTTATTCTCGTCATAGGGGCGTTAAGATGGGCATGATCTTCGAGGTTGAATATTCATGTATGTGCGTGGTGTTCCGTCATTACCTCACTAGTCGCCTAGGAGTCATCACACGCTACGTCAAATGTTAAACTGCAAACTTCTATGATAACAAAATATGGTGAGTTCCATTTGAATCATTCTATTTCTTTGTCGTTCGGTTACGGTAACGAATTCAGATCGGATGGACTCACCTTTGCCTCTCCACCTTGATCACCAGACGTTATGGTGCCGAAGTTTGGGAACAGATCATGTAAGTCTCCCATGTTTTTCGAAAACTTCCGAATTTTAGGGAATTTTCAGGAGGAAAGCTGGTTTTGCCCAAAAAAGCGAAATCGATGTACAGGTCTACTACGACGATACTGAAACAATGCGAATTTTCAGAACTGCTGCTGGTATACTGGGTCAGTGGGGATTTACGTACAGCTTGGCAACGACTCAAATGAGCTGTTTCAGGATTGTCTGTAGACGATATGTGGGAGATGTATGGTGAATTTCTTATCACATATGCATGTGAAACGGGTTGGGATAAGATGCTCAGTTGTATGGCCAACAACCTACAGGTAAGGGAATGTAGCATTTGAAGGGTCCCAGAGTCATCAGGAAAAAGGTCTATGCGAGCACAAGCAGAAGGAACTGTTCATGTCGAAAATAATAAAAAAAGTAAATAAGTGATGGTGAATAGGGGAGAAATTAGAAAGTTGCGCTTGTACTTCGTAGACGTCAACGAAGCCCTCACATTCCTTTTGGGGAACGGCCTAATGATAATAGTTCTGGACACGGATTTATTTATAAAGGTAAGTGGCCGCTTTCAATTTGAAAAAGATTAAGGAACACGGCTTATTCTGAAATTGGGCATATCAGTAGCCTATCTATAAAGTGAGGGCAGAGGTGGTGTAGTGGCAAGTGGCGCACTTCACATACGCATGGTCACGGGTTCAAATCCAGGAACGACATCTGCCTAGGCCAACGAAGCCTTTCATACCTCCGGGGTCGGTTGATTGGTGCCAGACTCGTCTGGGAGGATAAAACACTGACTTGTACATCGGCTGGCCACTGCATCTCCTTGTATAGGCCATGTACGCATTCGATACGTCACTACGATTCTGAATGGAAGCCGATTGCGTGGGCGCATCCTTCAGACGGTATTGATCAACGCTCCGAGACTTCATCCTTCATCTATAAAGTGACTTCATCATATAGTGCTCCCTGGAGGTAATCGACTCCTCCATGCCTCTTGAAATCGATAACTCAGGTGATGACGTAGTTAAGTAGCGACGAGGCGATTTTTAATTATTAACTATGCCGAAATATCATGTGCGAAATGCCTTCAATTTGGAAATGATTAAAGGAGGCATGGCTCATTCTGAAGTGGGCTTTTATAGGAATTCTTGGACAGTCTGAATTCGATGCATTACTTTATCGATCAGATTGCTTTTAAATCGGAAATGCGTGGACCAACATTTCAATGTGAAGCGATTGGCGATGGATTACTACGTTTACATTACTTTTCACATAGACAAGGTCTTTTTCCCATAGTCAAAGGTACTTATAGAATGATTAGTAGCTCCTACAGTTGGGAAATATTGCTTTACTTAACGATACAGGTCTGGTTCGTCAAGTATCACGATTACTCTTTGAAATGGATGTGAAGCTGGTTGTTCTTGAACGATCCCAGGAAAGGCGAAAAAGTGGTATGGTCGAGCATGTGGTATTCTCACTTGAACCTGATGAAGAACATCGGGCTGGTAAACGTTTAGCCTATAAATTCAAGCGTGATACTCGTTTATATGCCGATGTGGAAGTGGTAGATCCGGTGAGTTTTTTGTGATCGATTCGACAAAATGTTTTTTTCACACTCCGCATTTTCTAGTGAAATCACAACTTTGTCTATAAACTGATTTTGGTTTCAACTCAAAGAGAGTTGTAGAGTGGCAAGTGGCGCACTATAAAACGGGCATGGTTAAGGGATCGAGTCCCAGCTTTTTATTCACTAGACCCAACCAACAAGTCGTCCGTCTACCCGGTGTACTGGTACCAGGCCCGCCTGGCAATATAAAAGCATTGATCTGTACATCGGCCTTGCATCACAAGTCATTGTATACGCCAAACACATTCCAAGAGCCTTTACGACTATGAACGGAGTTAGAGCGCGGGGCGCACCCCTCAGACGGGGTTGATTAACGCCATAGACCTAAAGGCATTAATTCTTGCTACTGTTGAATTTGGGCCTTCTCTAGCTGCAACTTAATAACAGCTAAGTTTGGGCTCATTTTAATTTGCCTCTTCTATTGTGCGTATTTTGTGTGGAATCGCTAATTCGCCATTATTGTTGATTTATAAAAATAAATTTTTATAAATCAACAATAATTCGATAAAATTCAAATTGATTTCATTATAGCTTTTTCCTTCTTCTACGCATGCTATGAATTAAATTATGAATCAATTATTACTTAAGATAACTAGGTTTGATTTCAATCTAATTTTGCATTTTTGCCACTAATATTTTTTGAAATGACAATAACTTCTATGATTTAATTACTAATGTCAGAATGATAGCAATTTAAATTTATTTTTGCAAATCAAAGCCTAGTTAAGTTTGGAGGCATGAATCAATCTCGTCTGAGGGCTGCCCCACGTATTCGACCTCCCTTCGAAATCGTAGTGGCGTATTGAAAGCGTATGTGGCCTATACAATGAGTTGAGGTGGCCAGCCGATGTACAAGTCAGTGCTTTTAGCCTCCCAGACGAGTCTGGTACCAATTCACCGACCCTGGAGGGATGAAGGGCTTGGTTGGCCTAGGCAAACCTCGATCCGGGATTCCTCTCCAAAATTTCCAAATGTTTTCGTTAGATTCACTGCAATTTTCTTCCGTTTATGCTAGAACAGATTCATTTGAAATCACATATAATTCTGTATTGTAAATAGATAAATACAAAGAAATACATAGTATATTTTGCTCAGATTATTGCATTTTATACAGTTTATTTCAGCAAACCCCTCTTGCTGTCAATCTAAAAGATTTCTCAACTATATTCCCCTATCATATTTGTTTTAATAAACAGATGGTTGTGGAACATGTAGGTGAGTGATTCGCGTTTTTACAACTTCAAATTTCTTGAAGGATTATGTAAAATGTACCTGAACTCTTAGATATTTTCTTGCCAACTACATATTTCGAAGACAAAAATCCAACAGATTGAAACAAAAAAAANAAAAAAAATGAGTCCATCCCTTCAAAATCATAGGCTGAGCTCACTACGGACGATAGAGATCAGAAACCTACTAGAAAATTTCACAAAAGTCATTGCAGCTTCTTTTTTTCCTCATAATTGCATGGGCCTAAGTCTATTCATCATGAAACTTGGAAAAGAACAAAGATCTCCTTTTAAAAATTGAAGAAAACTGTAGACCAATCGTGAATCGCGAAATGATCGCGCAGCGATTCCGAAAGTTACTTCTGGAGCATCCTTGAAACAGGAATCGTCGCCTGCCGGACCGTGTTCAGTGGGGCGACCTCATGATTGACTGTCCGAATTCCCTCGGCATGAGGAGGTGGTTTTGCGGCGATTACGCAAAAAGTGGAAGTTCAAATCCTCTTCTTCATAGCGAGGGTGCATCAAACAAACGATACATATGGTTTATAGCAGGGGAAGCACCGTTCGAGTAGAAATTAAATACCACAACGGGCATATTGAAGGCACAGTTCACGATAATTTTAGGTCAGCCAGATTATGATGAAAAATGGAAGACAAGATTGAAAATAGTGCGATGAAGGTGAAGAAACTGCGTGAATCGGTGTTTCCAGAGTGAAAAAAGGCTTTGAGAAACCGTTAAAAAGGGGGGTGGACGAGAATGAGACCAGAAAAATGAAGGGGAGTGGGGACGAGCTATACAATGTGTCTCACTGCGTGCGTGTGGGTCCTGGTGCGATCAACAGACTATGTTAAGCAAAAACTCATTCACTTAAGCATAAGTAAACAAAAAACCCTAGTGACAGCAGAGTAGCCCACTTTTTTTGGCCTCTGGGAGTAGGAAGTAAAATAAGGGATCGCGGCAGCAAAAAGAAAAACAGAGGAAAAAAAGAATGGAAGAAAAACATCGCCTCACCCACTCGGCGATCAGCTGATTGTGCGTTGGTCCTAGAACGAATAGTTGCAATCTGTATTGTCTCCACACCCGTCTAACGTGACATCGATCGAGGGCAGTAAAAGCCAATAACGACAGCAACAGGGCTTCCACTATGCCTTAAGCGCCGAGATTGTGGGAGCGAGAGGGTCCCTTCTACCACCCATGGCGGGCGCTAAGTATTCCTAAAGGAAGAACTCAGTAACCTTTTTTATCGTGAACCGTGCCTTTGAATGCCGGTCCCGATCCATGATGCTTTACAAAGTTCGAGTCTCTGCCTCCAGGTTGATCATTGAAAAGATATCAGCGCTGAATTATCGGTATCGTTCTTCAGCCCTCTGGTCTCTGTTGAGACGATGAGGATCGCTGCAAATTTG